CTGTCATATAAGAATTCACATGCAGCTATCATACAGCTGCACAGGCCTGCACACAGTGCATGAGAGAAAGAGTAATTTCATTTCCATGTTTCAGGAGCCCCTCAACGTGTAGGCCAGCAGCAGGACTATATTTAACAGATGACAAAAGTTGCATTCCAGACGTACAGTACGATCTTTGTGTTGAACTTTGAGCATGGAAATAAATGGTGAAGAGGAGAGAGGTGAGGGGTGGGGTCAACAACACACAGCTGCTAAGCCAATGCAGCTCCATGAGATGCAGAATTTACAATAGCATTTTTCTAAGTTCCCCATTTATCAGTTACAAGACAGGATTGCGTTTGCAGCTTTAAAAACAAACGCGACGGAAATAAATCAAGAAAAAGACAGAAATATAATTCTCAACTGTGGCATCCGATCAAATTTGAAAAAAATTGACTATTTCTATTTATTTGCGATACCATTACGAAATTCTTAACAGTCCACATCCAAACAAGAAACCTTCATTAACTATTGAACTAGTGCAGAACATTGTGTATACACAACGCTGCCTTAAAAAACAATCAGTGAGAGAAAAAGAAAAGAGAAAAAAAAGAAACACCAGGTTATTTTCACACACGATCATAGAGAGCAGCCTGCCAAAACCATCAACTTAAGACAATTGAGCACAGCAAGTAGAAAAGAAAAAAAAAACCTCAGTAAATATTTACAGCACAAATCTTTTCCATTCATTTACCAAGCACTAACAAAACCGTACTGTACTCTTTCTCGCCCCCCCCCACCCACATCTGTAATTCATTGACTTTACAATTTACCACATGTCGAGATGGGAGAGGTCGGGACTTTATCTGAATCATGACACAAATATGCGAGTGATTTATTGTTTTAAAAACCATGGGACGATTTAGTGCAACTCCACTCTTCCTGAGCATTACTCCTATTGGCAGACCATGAACAATCACAGTTTGGACTAATTAAGCCCTGAGAATGTGCTGTGCGCCGCTAATGTCTCACAGGCCCTGCTTTCAGTTTAATGGTGCCAAACTTTGCTCCCCAACTTAACTCGCACAAATCCAAAACAGATTGCACTTTTTTATGGGTGTTTATCAAACCCCAGCAAACAGAAACCGTTTGCTTTTGTTTTTTGTTTTGCATGTAGGATGGGAAGAGGAGAAAAAAGACAAAGAGGAGAAGGAAAGAGTGGCGGAGGGAGAGAAAGAGAGAGTCTTGCTTCCGCCATTCTTTGTAAACAAAAGTGATTTGCAAAACAAAAGGATGGCAACCTTCTATATAAACTGGGAGTGTATTTTGTGCAGAGCGGCACAAAACGCGAGCGCGTAGCTCAGTGAACCCCCTGCGGATAGCAATTAGGGGCCATTAACATGTAAAGCCTATTTGATAAGGTATGAGTCTATCCCTGTAAATCCGCATTAAACTATCTTCTGCACCTCACACGACAGGCTATTCAACACACATAATCCATACGATAAAGCATTGTTATTGACCTCTTAGCCTAAAAAGATTCAGCCATGGTTTATTAAAATTTGTACATGTAGGGCTACATGAGGGATGAATGCATCTTTGGAAAAAAAAAAATTAATTGATTTGAAACACAAAATGTATTTAGAATTTTTTTAATTAAATTATACATTACATTTAAAATTATTAAAATTAAAACTATGATTTAAAAAAAAAAATATCCGCCTTGCATCTCCTTTTCTTTGCTCTAAATAGCAGAGAGTGCATTTGGGTGCTGCAAGTTTGTCTTTTTTTATATTATGTTCCTTTTTTAAACTACGCATAATTATACGTTGAAACCTGAAACCTCTGCAGGCCTAAGGAATTATGGGGCCAGGGGTGGCGTCAAATATCTTAACATTCATAAGTCAGAGAGGCAGTAAATAAACCCAGCGGATTTACAGGCATAAAGCCCCCTGCCAGAACTCAGCCGGCCAGACCTCTGCTCTACCTCGCTTTCCCCTCTCCACAGACCTGTTGAGGTGTGATTTTAGCCTACAGCCACCCAGTTAACCCAGCACCTTTCCAACCACAACACACACGTAGAGTGTGTCCGCAGCCGTGTGTCTGCCATGCAAACTGCTCTCGATGAAAGGGGGAAGAGTGGCTATTGTCTGCAGTTTTTAGTGAGGGAAAAAAAGAGGATCCAGGCATTGTCGATAGAACGTCATGGCAAATTGCTACCAAATCATCGTGAAGCTTTTCCGATTGAGGTGGTTGGAAATACAAACTCCCGTTATTACAGCTCTCGTTATTACAGAGGTCAGACGAATTAAACTCGTTCCCTCCCTCCCTTCAGTCAAACACACACAAGGGGAAAAGCATTTCATCACTATTGCATGAGCGGACCATCAGGGAAATTCAGCTGACATATGGCCTACGTAAATTAAATATTTTTTTTTAAATAGTCACATCTCTGATATCAACCTGTAGAGAAGCATCCGCCATTAAATAAACCCTTACAGATTAAATAATGCGGCAGTAGCAAATTTATCCTGAAAACAAAACATCGGATCAATAAATACATAAATGTTTGAAATGCCATAAAACTGGATCACCTGTTTGTTTCATACAATTTAGAGAAAAAGGAAAAAAGGAAAAAAATAAGGAAGGAAAATACTAAGAAATGCTAAAATGTACATCATTGGCAGCTAAACACAACAAACCTCATGCATTCGTTAAACGGAGCGACAGCTAATCGATGCTCAGGTGAATTATTTATCCTCTACTTAAGTAATGCGTTTATGAATACAGCGGCTTTCAACTTCAAAGCGGTGTGGGTCGGACGCCCAGGCAGCTCATAGGTAGCAGACCTCATTGCACAGAAGCAGGGTGAAGGGCTACAGCACAATGTCAAAGACTGAGATCTGTAGGCCTGGTTACAGTAAGAGATCAAAAATTACAACATACAACTATAAAGAAATTCACTATATCTATGGGTATAAAATTTAGGCTAGAGGGTCAGAACAGACCTGGACTGACTCCCACATATAGGGGAGGATTTCAAACAATGATCCTTACTTCCGTGAGAGATCGCTAAATATATTCTTCATAGCCAAAAACGAATAAGCCAGCGATTTAGACAGGGCTCCATCCCAGCAGGGAGAGGAACTAACAGACTATGAACTCTGGTATCAGCATCTGTGAGATTCTTCACAACCAACCATACAGAAGACACGCTATATGTCAAATACTTCCTTCATATTCCTACTAATCAATGCACAATTGCAGTGGTCATACTGATGCTTTCATAATTTTCAGTCCTTTTGTTTATATGTGAATGTTTCTAATATGCATTTACATCAGTAAATAAATTATCAACAAGTGAAGAACAGATTCAGCAAAAAAGGCATGTATTGGGAAACACGCAATATCCACCACAAACACAAACAGCCAGAGATGTTTCTACAAAAATGTCTCACTGATACTAGAAACAGCAGAACGTCTTTAAAATACCTGAAGTTAAATCCACAATTTCAGAACAGTACATTTTGAACTTAGTTATTTACTTAATTTCAGGTTACACCACATGTCATTGTCATAAAGCGTACCTTCACGTTTCAGATTAAGCCTAGAGCTGATTATGAAAATCAGAAATGACAGCAAGATCCTACTGCACAATTTTCCTTATTCTTATTATGTTATATCCACAGCAATGACATTTAAAAAAATATAAAATATCAATTGTGAATAAAAATATGAACCTACTAAATCAACATGAATTCTTTCTGGTGCCAGGAAAAGTGCTGGACAAATATGCATAACTAAGCACATCTGATTTAAACAACATAATCTGTATTTACACCTACATATTAAGCATATATTCTCATTACATGTTATGCGACATTATGCATGCTCGAAATGAGAAGTCTATCATGCCATGACAAAAAGTACATGTAAATATAAAACATATTATATTTAATGTGCATTTAAAGCAAATGTTTATTTAATTTCAAAATAATTCTGACACTACTGTCTAATATTTTACTACACACTATGTCAAGGGTGGAATGAGCAATATTGTGCTTTCATTCTGCGAATCACAAATTCATTGACTGCCTTTCACTAATTACATAAACATTTCCCATGATGCTCTTTGGCAATAACATTTATGTGCATTGCATTCTGTAAATAACACCAGCAGTATTATGTTAAGCTCGGATAAATTAGTCATAAATTAACTCAGATAAATGACTAATGTGCCATTTTATGTGGCATGCTGTAAAAATGTTTTCATCATCATGTCATAACAGCATCTTTGTTTCCATCCGTTTAAACTGTCACAATCATTTCTGTCATTTCTACTCGATTTTCTTCAGCAGTAATTAAATTCAAAGTGGCAGAAAAAGCGCAGATTGTAAATATAGCACCACTCTGATTTCATTTTAAAAACATTAAGGCTGCAATTAAACTTAAAAATGTCATTTGTAATGGTTAAATGCCTTCGAATAACAGAAACGCTTTTTTTCCCATGTGTCAAAATCATAACAACGATAATAACGACAGTAATAATAATGCTATTATTATAAATTCAAACATTCTTGTACATTTCAGTTTTAGAAATTCCGGAACACCCGCTACTGTCAATTAAATGTCCAGTCTAAAGCAAACGAGCTAATCCACTAGTTATTCAAGTGCACAAACAATTCAAATAAATAATACTGTAAAAAATCCAGAATCTAAAGCAAAGAATCTAACCTTCCAAGTATGCAAATATAGCTGGGGGAAATGAGAAGAAAAAAATAACGGAGTTAAAAGTTGCTGTGGCCGTGTGTTTGTGCACGTCATGAAAGCACATTATGTGTTCCACTGTAACGTTACTTGCCGCTCGCGCGGCTCTTTGGATCCGCGCGAGCGGCGTGCAGTCGTACAGTGCAGAGTGAAGTGTGGCAGAAGTTCACGAGCCGACCAAAGCAATCCCTAAACATGGACGTGGTGCTTTAGCTGCGTGCATGTGGCTACAGAAACACGTTAAAAACACTTACTGTGCGCGCGGTGGGCGAGAGCGATCCGTTCGGGAGGTACGGGCTCGTGAGGTCGGGAATCATTATAAATGGATAGCCCGGGTACGGTGGGCTCTTGAACAGCCCTCCATCTTGCCTTTTCGCAGCTAACATGGCGGGGGAAAAGAAGAGGAAAACTTTTAGTTTAAGTTACATTCCCAAAAAAACAACTTTGTACGTGTGTGCAGAAGCAAACGGAACCGAGGCACCGTGTTGTTGTCCAATGCAAAAAAGGTGATTTAGAGAAAGCAAGCACTCACCCTCCTCTAAACTTTCTCTTGTTTTGTCTCTGAAACTTTCAGATCTAGGCGGAGGCCGTCTTTCCGCCTAGAAATGCAACGAAACACAGGGAATGCATTGAATAATCACAGCGAGGAGATCGTTAGCTAGTTAGCAGCGTGTTTAAACAAGAAACGTGCATGTAAAGTTCTGGACAAAGTCACGGATTCGCGGTTATTTGTCACTTACCTCGGAATCCGAGGAGCTGTTTTGATTCGTTTCCGACTCGTTTACGAGAGAAGACTTGACATCTGCTAAATCCCTTTCTGCTGAGGAGTTCTCCGAAATCTTTTCCTCCTGCTCGCCTTCGTCTTTGAAGGAAATCATTTCATCGTTCGCACCCAGATCGTCCCCTCCACCGCCGTTCAGCTGCGGCATTTTTCCCGAGGAGCGCTAATTTTGCGGGGGGCCAAAAACACCCAAAAGTTTTTAAACCCTTGATCTTGGTGTGATCCCCGAATCCCGAGTTTTAAGTTTAGGGACTCGCAGTGGCGTTTGGCTGGGTGAGTGTTCAAAACTCAAAAAGAAGAGGGCAATCTTGGCAGAAACAGAAGCCGGAGACGGAGCTGAGGCGCTCGGATTGAGGGAGTTGAAGTTGGTCGGAGTGGTTTTCAGTTCAAAGGCGGCGCTGATTGACAGATAGAGAGGGATGGAAATAGAGAGAGTCTGGATTCGGGATTATTGACAGGGAGAAACACACAAGAAAAAAAACTAATGAGATTCAAACAGGGAGGGACTTGAAGTGACGTTTTCATAAACAGAGAGGGGCAGTAAACAAAGTACTGGAGGGGGAAAGGGCTTGAACGCGAACGAGAAACAGAGAGAGGGAGAGGAAAAGAGCTTTTGGTGAAGAGCAGGACAGTTAAAGCGAGTCGCCCCTGTTTGCTTTTGTACAGGAATGAATGGAAAACTAGGCGGAAGACACTTGTGCGATAGTCTGCTTGTATCTGATTCTGAGCAGTAAAACGGCTCAAAGCTATTGACTTCCTTTTTTCTACAGTTGTTGTTTTCAGTGTTGGTGTTTGTGGGCTGAAATAACCCCACTCACTCCAAACATGGACTCAAATGACCATCAATTCTGAATTGCACTAAATCAAAACCTATTTATGAAAACATCACTTCAAAAACGATTTTACTTGTATAAAGGCTTAAAATGCTAGGGGGAAACATACAGCAATCATTTATATGACAATTATGTATGTCCTTTTTATTGGTGTTTTAAAATGTGATAAATTGCAGAAAAGACTGGCATTATCCTACATAGTAAATTTTATATAGGCCTACTGAATTTTTATTATCATTATATCAACATCTTTGTTTCTATCCATGTAACTTGTCACAATAAATTTCTCCTTTTGTACTTAATCAGTGATTAGCGTGCAAGTGGTCAAAAATGGTAACTTATCACTGCAGCTTGTCACTTTGATTTCACATTAAAAAAAATAAACTGTTTTTTTTTTGTGCATTAAAATTTCTATCTATATATAGGAATATAGACACACACACACACATTTTTCATGTAAGGAAACTTATGCATATATGTTTTCCCATATATAGATACAACACACAAAAACGTTTATTTTGATGTAAAATCAAAGTGATCAAATCTGAATGTATAGTATATGTGTAATACATTATTAACAATATATTACAATATGTATTATAAATTAAATGATATAATATATACAGTGGGTACGGAAAGTATTCAGACCCCCTTCAATTTTTCACTCTTTGTTATATTGCAGCCATTTGCTAAAATCATTTAAGTTACTTTAAACAGACTAGAGTGAGTGCAGATGGGCTAATTGAGGCCAGTTAACCTGTATTCATTGTGAATAAAGATAAGGTGGGGGTTGAATATATTTTCTCTCGCGTCTCTTCTCTACAAAAATGCAAGAACAAACTTTTTTTGTATTTGTTTGTGGGCATATGCTTCTGGTTTGTTGGTTTTGGATTTAAATTAAGTATATGCATACATAAATAAATGTATAAATCATAAAAGATTATGAAATTAAAACAAAACTATAGGAAACTGTCTTCCCAAAATTGTATGAGCTATGAATTATATTCCAAAGACATTCCTGTGTGTTTTGAGTAGTACTGCCTAATATCAGCCTGCTGACTCATAGTATTTTCTCCCTTTAACATTATTTGGTTACTTATTTCATATTTAAATTAGCCATTTCCTTACATCCATTTTAAGAGTCAAGGTCATGCAGGTATCAGAAAGCATCATTCATTTCCCTACCTGAATTTCACCATAGTGGAATTATACAGAAACAACGTCATTTGAAGGAACTTGCAGTGTTGCCTTTATAAAATAATACTTAATACTATAAAAATATAGCTTGCCTATACAGTATATAATGTTTTTAAAATTTGTACACCCAATAATTAGAAAATGTTAGTTTAATATAAGCAACCATATATATTACAAAGACAGCAATATAAGAGCAGACAAAAGAATATAAAAGTAATATTTCATATATACACAAATAGCACAAATTAGGTATATGATTTGCAATTATAATAATCTCCCAAAACAGTTACAGAAATGCAGCATGACACATCTTAACATTCTTTGAAGTTATTTATAAATATAAGATCTTTAGGATAGATATGCATCCTTACTTGTAGAGTGAGTCAATATGATTGAACAATAACGACTCGGTATTTAAAATGTGCTGTCAGCAGCTAAAAGATTTCCCATTGCTTTTTGACTTCAGAAGTCTGGAGCCTGCAGATACCAGACCAAAGCAGCTGAGCTCCTAGCTAGCATCTCCCTGGATTGCCTCAGCAGGTTACTGAGAGTTCACTTAGATTGGGTGTGTTTTATCAGCCTTGCTAAGCCAAACCTTGCTCTATTTATTTCCCTGCTGGTTCTAAACCTGTGACCAATCCATGTGTTAAACCACGCTTCAGGCTGACCTATTCTGTGCCAATATTTTATCATGCATGAGTAAACAAAACTGGAAAGTAATGTTTATTTCAGATTTATTCTGGTAATGACAATAAAATAAGAGACAAGCGTTGATTTCTGCACACTTGCTCTTATATCTCTATGTGTTCTGTGTATAATGTTACCTGGTAAGATATTTGTGTCTTTGCAAACAGTTAATTACCCACAATGCCTGTGTGTTCCTGCGCTGGATGAAATGGCTCTGTTCTTAATTAGCATATTATGGGCTCTGTTAATGGTCTTCTCGGTTGTTTTCAGTAACAATATGTGCATTTTAAAAGCTGGGTTAATAGTGAATATAACATGATTTATGCCAGATCCCCTCTAAGCTAGTTGAATAAAAAAAAAAAGTTTTTTAGTTTTTACAAGTGGAACTTGGCATTTAACCTTTTCGCATTTAGTCAATTGCAAATTTCCCCATTGTGAGAGAGCCTCTGTGTACCATTTAGGATTTTTTTCCCTGTAGGAGCTCAGATGAATTTTATCCTGTGAATAATGACGTGGTTAACCACAATTATGCGATTCTAATGGATCTTCATGTTTTGCAGGCACAGACCAACAATAGGGAAATTATATTCTTTACAACATTATGCAAAGTTTCATTTTTATAATGTATATTTTAAGGGCAGATTGAAAAACAGAATCAAACTAATTGTGTTATCCTCAGCATTTTGAAAAGATTAGAGTCAGAACAGAGCCAAGCTAATCATTTGAATTTGAGTAAATGAGTTTTGATGGAATGTAAATGTTAATAGATTATTAACATTCCAAACAAAGTCAAAGCTTACGACGCATCTTTCTTTCTGAATTCTTATGAATCACAGGATTTGACTCAGAGATGTGTCATTGAATTGGTTCTGTGAATCCAACTTGGATCGCCCCATCAGCATTTAGACCTAGAAACTTGTTTTGGAGAAAACATCTGTGAGTTCAAATATTGTAGTCCTGTCCATGGCACTAACTGCGTCTGAACATGTCTCTCACCCCTGGAGTCTGTCAAATACTCCATAGTGGGAAATGTATTTGGGAAAGGAGGAGCACTGAATCGGTTTTCCAAAACAAACAGCAGACGTTTTCATACAAGGACGCGACTGCCGTTTATCAAGGTTTGGGTTTGGAGCAATACAAATATGTGGCCACCTGAAGAGGCGCATCGTTGTGTATATATGTGCTCACATCTCTTAAACTCTGCGGTCACATCGAATATTGGAGCCAAGGCACACACAGAGGAAACTCTCTGACATCACACCAAACCTACATTACTCAGAGGATGAACCCATGACCCCAGAGTTATCTCTCGAGCACAGCCTCTGCATCAAATGCTCTCTCTTTCAGCAAACCGTCAATTCCTGCCCACAGTTTTCATATAGTCTGTATAAATTATACTAATGTCAACAACAGCTCGTCGTGAAGGCGAAAAGCTTAATGTTGTATGATTACATAAAGTCCTCTGGATCTTTGTAATGCTTGTGTTTTAGCTTGCTGTGCTCTCTGTTATCCAAATATTTACCATTTATGAGTGCTTCTCTATAATACATTAGTTGATAGATATCTAGAGAAGCACAGACACTGGACTAAAAAGCGGCTAAACACCAGCTGGCACTCTTAATATAGGTTACATATTTAAAATCTATAGAATCTATAGTTGAACCCTACAAGTGTTCCATCATACTTTAGCTTCTTTGTCAGACTATATTTGGTAAATAACAGTGACAATCCATGCGCTTTAATAAGATGAAATGACGGGAAAGAAAGGGAAGGGAGGAGAAACAGTGAGGGATAGAGGGACAGAGAACATAACGTTGTAACGTTGGAAGGTGTTGGCGAGGTAGCCCACAGGTCACAGCACAGGTCTGTTGGAGACAATGTGTCCAGCTGAACGTACTAACAAACAGATGTAAAACCCATCCGCTCCCATATACCGCAGAGCTTCGGGGTTTCAAAATAGAACAAGCTCAAAACAACTCGGACCAAAGTTCCCAGCAAGTCTGAGTGTTAATGGAAAACAAACCAGGTTTGGGGTTTGCTTGTTCGATGTGACTCAAATTTCACATTCCTGTACCAAAACACGTACTGCTATAGTAACTTCACAACAAGCACATCTACTGGGAACGCAAACGATGCTTCTTAATGGATTTGTTCATCTAAATAATGATAATTATGTCATCATTCATTCGCTCTCATGTCAATACAATGACATTCTAGGAACACAAAGGAAGACATTTCATTTAATGGACTGATCATCTCTTTTTACATGCAGTAAAAAGCTTATTTATATATTTCATATATATATATATATATATATATATATATATATATATATTTTTATGCCATAAAAGAGGCCTTATTTCATTTAATGGACTGATCATCTCTTTTTACATGCAGTAAAAAGCTTATTTATATATTTCATATATATATATATATATATATATATATATATTTATATATTTTTATGCCATACAAGAGGCCTTTTTGGTTCCCCAAAGAATCTTTACTTGAACACTTCTTAAAATAATAATTTTTCTTAGTGTGAAGAACGTTTTAATCATCTAAAGAACCCTTTTCCACTGTAAAGAACCTTTTGTGCAACTGAAAGGTTCCATGGATGTTTAAGGTTCTACATGGAACCAGATGTCAATAACCTTTATTTTTAAGAGTGTATAATTAATTCTTTGCAAACAGCACCATCAAAGTAATCATAAAAGAAGACTTATGTGCTGTATTCCAAGTCATATATTAGCTTTTGGGGAGAAACACACTGATATT